AGGAATGTATGTGCTACTTCCTGTCATTTTTAGTTTGCTTTTTAATCAGTCCTAATTTCCATTTGTTTACCTATTATTCTAAGGAGATTTATTGTTTCTCCTGAGTTCTTGGTTATTTTTTTATCTTCCTTTTCTATGTGTTAGGATTCATCTAAGTATCTTCTGAATTTCTAGATTAGGGGTCACAAATTAGTTTACTTTATGCTTATCTTGCATAAGCATAGTTTACTGAATATAGTAATTTAGATGAAAAGTTATATTCTTTGGATGCTTGAAATATGTCATTCCACACCCTCTTGTCCTTTATCTTCTGCTGTGAAATATGCTACTATTCTGATGAACTTGCCTTTATTAGTACTTGCCACATCTCTTTGCACCTCTTAAAATTATTTTTATTATAATTTTTGGCACTTTAAATATAATATAACATGGAGAAATTCTTTTCCAGCCTTGTCTATTTTGGGTTCTAAATGACTCCAGTACATTAATTTGTCTATCTCTTTCCCACGTATTTTAATATCAGAAATTTTCTGATATTACTTTATTGAATAAGTTCTCTACACCATTCATCTATATCTTTTGTCCTTCCTCAGGACTTATGAGTCTTAAGTTTGGCCTTTTGATGATGTCACAGAGCTCTTGTATGTTCTGCTTATACTTTATGTTTTTATTATTACTCAATGAAAGTTCTTATTTACCCATTCTGTCTTCAAGCTTTGATATTCTTTATTCTGTTTGATCTAGTATATTGGCAAGACTATTCACTGAGATTTTTATTTGATTTAGTTTTTTATTTCTAAGAGTTTTGTTTGGTTCCTTTTAAATTCTATAGCGCTTTATTGAAATGCTCCTTTAGGTCCTGTATCTTCTCTCAAATAATTAACTTTTTGAATTATGTTTCTGTCATTTCCTCAACCTAATTATCTTTGGTTCAGGTATTGAACTTGTAGAGGCATCTTACATTCCTCTATTTCTGTGTTGTGATTGATTTATATATCTGCTGGGATGGAGATATATATATATAATCTTCCACTGTTATGTGAGAGTGTTTTTAGTGAGTTGCTTTATCATGTGCCCTGGGCTGGGGGTAAATTTCAGCATAAAAGCAATTACTTAACATATTCACAGTTCTATGGTAAATCTGTAGCATTGCTTTGAGAGGAGATAATAATCACAAGTAACCATGACCACTTGAGAACAAGCCATATACTAATAAATCATAAAAACTAATTGAAAATATTATCTACAGTTCTAACCATCTAAACATGGAAAGGGTAATAGTAATCTTTAATAGATTATAAAATTAGATAAAGAAAGCAAAATTAATATTAAACCTGCTGAGTAGATGTTCCTTCAGTACTTTAATTCCAAACTGTGAAGGAGTTGGAATCTGCAGCCTGCTTTCTACCATATCATCTTGATTATCCAATATCTATAAACTTCTTATATAAAAATTATGTTTTAAAATAATTACTGAGCATGGAATCAATCTATGAGATATTGAAGTTTATTCTATAAATATAATATGAATGTTTTTTGAAATTTGATATTAGTTCATGAGAAGAGAATTTGGTGTAACAGAGTTTAGAAATCCACATACACAGGGAATTTGGTTTATGACAGAGATGACTTCTGGGATCAGTGGAGAAAGTTGGAATAATCAATGGAAACAACTGGGTTTTTCTTTTTAAAATTATGTTGGATTTCTCTCTCAATTTTTATATAATAATTGTTTATATGGATTAATTTGAAAATATAAAATAAACAAAGAATTGGAACATGCTCTGGAAAACTATTTCTAAGCAAACACAGCACCTAGATACCATGAAAACCAGAAACTACTGAATTACACAGCATAAAACTAAGTCAATAAATTGAATTTTAAATTCATTAAGAATATAGGAAAAAGCATAAGAGATCAACTGTTATTTCATATTTATATTTTTAATATAAAGCAGGAAGACAAACCACAGGCTCAGTAAAAATATTTACAAAATATACCTCTGTATCCAATCTATATAAAAAAGTCTGAAAATTCAACAATAAGAAAACAAACCAAGTAAAAAGTAGCAAAAGATCTGAACAGGCACTTCACCAAAGAAGAAGGTAGCAAAGAAGATAGGTAGCAAATCACTGTATGCAAAGAATCTCGAGCATCATATATCATTAGAGAAATTCAAATTAAACAATATAAGATACTACCATAGGCTTATTATCAGAAAAGGTGAAATTCAAAACACTGACAACACAAATACTGGCAAGGATATTGAGCAACAGGGCTCTCATTCAGTGCAAAAAGACAAAGTCATTTTGGGAGAGTGGTAATTTCTAACAAAGATAAATATATGATTAGCACATAATTTAGCTTCCACAGAAAACTCAAATGAGTTGAAAAGCACATCTATGCAAAAACTTTCCCACACACTTTATAGCATCTTTATTCATACTTGACAAAAATTGTAAGTTCTTTAATAGGTGAATGAATAAACCAACTGTGGTACGTTCATACAATGGAATATTATAGAAAGAAAGAAAGGAAGGGAGGGAGGGAGGGAGGGAGGGAGGAAGGAAGGAAGGAAGGAAGGAAGGAAGGAAGGACGGACCCAGTCATGAGAAAACATGGAGGGAGATTAAATGCATGTGACTAAGATAAATTACATGGTACATCCATGTAATTCCAAGTGTATGGCATTTTAGAAAAAGAAAAGCTACAGATATAGTAAAACAAAGTAATGGTTGACATGATTTCCAGAGGAAGGAGGAATGAATAAATGAAGCATAGGGCATTTTTAGGATGGAAAAATTATTCTGTCTGACATTGCAATAGTGGATACATGAAATTATGATTTTTTATAAAAAGTTTGAGGATTTCAGAAACTGATTATGGAAAAATATAAAACCATGATGGCCATAGCATACACTAAGCTTTCTTTTGGGCAACACTTGAACAGGGTTGCAGAAGAGGCAGTCTTCACAGCATGAGACTTTGTAGAGGCACAGTTACCACTATCCAGGAAGAAAGTAGAGGGCCAAGGAACTCCTGGGGTTGGAGAGGAGGCGTATGTACTTTGAGAGCTCTGACAGCATCAGCAACTTGGAATTTTTATTTTTTATTTTTGCAATACTAGGAACTAAACTCAGAGGAATTCCACCTCTGAGCTATATTTTCTAGCCCTTTTTATTTTACTTTAAGATAGGATCTCACTAAGTTGCTGAGGCTAGACTCAAAATTGCAATCCTCCTGCTTTAGCCTCCTAAATCACCGGGATTATAATCACACCTCATCTTGCCCAGTTATGCTTGAGGTTTTTATATTTGCAGAGTTATCTTATCTATAGCTAGCAGATGTTGGGGTCAGTTTTATAGGACATACAAAGCAGAAAGGCATTAAATGGTTAAAAACTCCTTGTTTGAGATATATTCAAAACAATTGAATATATAAAATTTTGGATTTAGCACTGGTGGGCTTTTGGATTAATGGGTCTCAGTTTTGAAGCAGTAAGCAGCAAGCAGCAAGCCGCATTGTATCATTACATAGAGGCCATCTTTTACTCATTTATATAGTTCTTTGTTAGCACCCAAAGAACTATACAACAAGAGTGAAACCTTATCTAAATTGAACTTTACTTTATAATAATATATTAATACTGGCTCAATTATAATAAATGTACTATATTAAGGAAAGATGTTAATAATAAGGGAAGCTGTATGTGTGTTGGGAGTGGGAGATGGGAATGGGGAAGTAAGATTATAAGGGAACTCTCTATACTTTCTTTACTATTTTTTTTATAAACCTGAACCTGCTTTCAAAAATAAAATGGGTTAAAAATTTAAAAGTCAATTAGGAGAATTACAACTTGGGGGAAAACTTTATGATCTATAAAATAAAATAGTGAAAGCAAAAATATTCTATACATCCAAAATAGAATTTAAAAGTCCAGTGAATAATGAACTTCTTGGAAATACATGAAACAGATGCAATAGATCAAAAATTCACTCAATATTTAGGAATTATTTAAAAACAACAAATAAAACACCAAAACCCACAAAGTAAAAAAGAAGTTAGGATGTAAACAAGCAGTTCAGAGAAAAAGAAATACAAAAGTTTTTGGAAAGATACTCAATCTTACTCATTAATAAGAAAATAAAATTACTGTAAGAATCTAGTTTTCATCTGTAAGTTTGGAAAAGATAAAAAGCTTTGATGCCTGTAGTGTTTACCTACCCTCACATATACACTGTTTGTAGAAGTATATATTGGTTACTACTTAAGAATAACATTTTCAGCATAATAATAAATAACATAAACTTTGGCCATCAGTTCTACTCATAGGGAATATTTCTTAAAACTCACAATTATGCTCAAAATATAAATTCAATGTTATCTGTGGCAGTTATTATTTTTATTAGCAAAAGATCCCACCTAAATTTGTATCAGTAAAATTTTTGCCATGTAACATGCAGCTTTTGCTAGAAACTTCTATATCTTTTATGTCACTTGTCATCTCAAACTTTTATGTGTCTCTAAATAACCTATATTTATTTCTGTTTTGCATAGATACCCAGACAAATGCAAATTCTAATCCTCTACCAAGATTCTATTAGCCGGTCTCATCTTTCCTTATCTTATTCCACACTCTGCTGATAATTTATAGGGATTTCAATGTGGATCCACATCTTGTATCTTCATCTCCATAAAAATAAAGGAGACATAAATCATGTCTCCTCAACATTAGTCTTGGGTTCTCAAGGGCAAGTATTAGTTCTTCTTCATTTGTTTTTTCTTTCTGGAACCTGGCACAAATCTGAGTAAAGAAGGCTTGCTTGTAAGGAGTGATTCTTCTTAAGCAAGCTACATCCTATAGTACCCATGTTCATTTCATTACTACATATTAGAAGTTAGGGACAATTGTAAAAGAACTTAACTGTTTAGTTTGTTCCTTGCTTTCCTTGGAAAATTTCATTTGCTAATGCTCATAAAGTTGAGTCAGAGATCATACCTGAACTTCGTGTAATCACTGGAAGGAGGTACAGTACAACAAAGAGTCTGCACAAAAATACCTTCATAGTTTCCATTATACCTGTGATAAAGAATGAGGAAAATTATAAAAAGTAATAAGAGGAGTAAAAAGTTACAGAATTCAAACATCTTCACATCTTTCTATAGTAATTAACTTTCAAGTAAAGTTTCTGGGTTAGACATTGGGACAACCAGTTAAAGTAAACAATGAATAATTTTTACTATAAGCATTTCCCTTATAATGTTTAGTGTCCTGAAATTTGGGAGTGGGTACCAGGAATTGAACTCAGGAGCACTCGACCACTGAGCCACATCCCCAGCCCTATTTTATTTAGAGACAGGGTCTCACTGAGTTGCTTAGCAACTCGCTTTTGCTGAGGCAGGCTTTGAACTCGCAATCCTCCTGTCTCAACCTCCTGAGCCGATGGGATTATAGACGTCACCACTGCACCCAGCGTCCTGCAATTTTTGTTTGCTAAATTTCTATTTTTATTTGCTAAATCAGAGAGAACTTTCTTTTCTATTGAAGAATCACTTCCTCCCAGGCTAGGAGTCTTTTGTCTTCTGGTTTACAACTTCATTGAGTCATCTGCTTTTCCAAAGTGGCAGATCTAGGGAATAGATCCTGATATCTGAAGCCTCTGTATGGTGAACATTTGTCACATTTAGTTACATTTACTTACACAGAAAAGTTTAAAGACATATTTAGCCTTTTAAAAGACATATTTAGCCTTTTTAATGTATGAACCAAGTGGCCACTTCAGAAGGTGATATAACCTGCAATTGTAGCAAAGCTTCTAAATTTCCTGTTTAGGAAGAACTCATATTTAGAGACATATTTTTGGACACATGTGGTCCGTAAAGAACAAAAGGGGAAATGAAACTGGCTTTCTCAGTCAAATGTGAAGACTTTTCATTGGTATAGTATTTTGATTTTTTGAATCAGCTGAAAAACCCGATATTTATCTATTTGTACTTCAAAACAGAGGAAGAATAACTGGATGGCAACAATGACGTGAAAGTACCACCCCATGTACATGGGCAGCTCTAGTAGCCTATGAAAGTCCTTCCCTCTGCAGCACAGTGGCAGGGAGTAGGTCCACAGTGGCCTCACTACTGAGGTGGTGCTACTTTGTGAAGAGTGAGGGGCTATCTCATTAAGCATGAAGGTACTGATTCAATACCAGGAAGACTTCCATGCAAGAGGACTTGAGCAAAACCTAGTAAGACTGACAAGTGAGGCAAAGGGCAAATTGTGAAGGCTTCACTTGCCAGGTTAATGCACTTAATTTTGATTTAAGTTTTATCTTCTAGGCAAGGGGATTATAATAGGCTAAGCAGTCATATGCATAGTGGTTAAAAGCAGGGTCCTAGAAAGGGACAACTAAAGTTGAAATCCTGGTCTTGCCATTTAGCAAGTTACTGAAACTGTTTCTTCATTTTTCCACTATAAGTAGGGGATAATATTTTATTTCTCAATGAAATTATTATTGGAATTTATAGAGTTATAACACCTAAAGTGGACAGAATAGTATCTGATAACTATTATACTAAAAAGTGTAAGTACTATAAAAAACTTGAGGATAAAGAATGGGTGCTGCGGCGCACGCCTGTAATCCCAGTGGCTCAGGAGGCTGAGACAGGAGGATTGGGAGTTCAAAGCGAGCCTCAGCAAAAGCAAGGTGCTAAGCAATTCAATGAGACCCTTGTCTCTAAATAAAATACAAAATAGGGCTGGGGATGTGGCTCAGTGGCCGAGTGCCCCTGAGTTCAGTCCCCAGTATCTCCCCAAAAAACCTCCCAAAACTTAAGGATGACAAAGTACTCATTTTCTTACTATTTTTAGTATTGTTTAAATTTAGCAGTGTTTAAGAGAAGTGAAAAAGTGAGAGCCTTGGAACCAAACTTACACCCTGGTTTTACTACTTAACAGCTACTTTGAGTTATTTATGTAATTTCTATGACTCAGTCTACCTTCTGGAAAAAGATGAGTATATATTTCATATAATTAAATTTGTTAAATGTAGGTGTTTAGATTTTTTAAAAGTGGAGAACAAAAATGCTTAAAAAAGGGTGTCTCTAGATAGTGATAAAGAATTTATAGTCATGGCGCAGCATATCCAGATTTACATATTTGAAATGTGATTTGAAGACTGAGGAAGAGATGGAGTCAGTAACACCACATGGCAAGCAGAATGAGTGTCTCAACCCAAGAATGTGTTACTGGAGAAGAAATGAAACATCGTGACAAAAGAGAAAGAATAACTGTACAACCTCTAGGACTAAATCAGTCTCTGAATGGAGGGAATGGCAGAGATTTATTTTCATATGACCCCTAACTTCTGAGATGTATAATTGGATGGATAAATAATATCATTAGTCATGATAAGACACTTGGGAAGAAAAGCAATTGAATTTTGAACAGATCAATTTTAGATTTCTATGTAATTGTTTTACTTATCCTATTTAATTATGAATATACAAAATTAAATACTCTGCCACAATTGTTAGGTACATGACTTCACTATAGATGTGTAAGTGTTTGAGTAAAGGGATTACAACTTCTTGTTCAAAATATGTTGTAGGATCCTGCAGGGTGTCTAGCATATATTAGACGTGCTGGGTGTCTCCTGTTTGCTTCTCCAGATCCAATTTCCACTTTCCTCTATCCTTCTCTGTTTCTTACATAGTAGAATGCTAAGGATTTCAGTGATTGGCTCCATTCCCAATGGTTTCTGGTGAGGTTTAGCAAGCAGAATAACAAGAAGATTATAGGAATGAAAGAGGATGACTTTGGATTATTTGCTCTTTCAGCTTCTTTCTTCCTGGGTTGCTGTGTGAGCTGTATGCCCAATCATTAAACAAATAAATACACAAAACCTACCCTGTAGCCCTTTCTGTCCATAGATTTTAGTCACTGCTTCTTACCTTTATTCCTTCAGGCCTAAGGTCAGTCACAATCTCATTATCTTAACTCCAATGTTCTGCTTTGCCCTCCAAATTCATCTACACCTTGATTGCATATTTGTAAATATGCTATTTATTTAATATTCCCAAACTTGAGCATGCCATCCATTTCTTGCTGGGAATCTGGATGATAATAGGAGTTAGTACTGAAAGTAGTTCCCAGAAAGAGATGCCCACTATGTGCTTCTGAAATTGGTTTACTCATGCATTGGAGATTGCAATCTCCATGCTGGAAGGTATGAAAAAGAGCAATCTATAGCATGGTATGACACCAAATCCACTCAAATTCGGAACATGGGTGGATCGAGTGTAGGTATAGAAGAAGGCACAGGAAAGGAAAATAAATAGCTTGGTTGCTATGGCCAAAAAATAATTATAAAGATTGTGGAATTCTCTACCTTTTTATGACTGTTTTAGAAGATAGACATGAGGAAAAGGAAAAACTAAAAGCTATGAATACATAGTTGAGAATATATTTGGAGAACCAGGGAGTCTCCATCCTAGCTCTCAAAGAGCTCATCTTCTCCCTAGTAATTAGAGATGGAGATGAGGATTGAATTCAAGGTCTAATTTTAAGGGTTGCAGAATTAAAGCAATAATTAAATGTTACATTCACAAAATCTCTTAAGCTAATTTAAGGATAGGATAAGGCAGTCTGAAACACTGAGACATGGGACAAGGGTGATTGGGCAAACATGGACAGAACCATCCATGGGATTAACAGCATTAATTTCCTTGCAGTCAGGATTATTTAGCTATCACCTCTGCTGAGTGTTAAGCTTATTATTTTCAGGACACTGCTGGTTAGTTGGTGGCATCCATCATAGAGGAAACATTAATTTATGCTCAAGGGGTGGATACTTATTGAATCTGGGTTCCCAGCTGGTGGTAATTCATCATGAACACATATTCATACACATACAAAATGCCTTATTATTCTTTTTTTATCCAATGCAATATCATCTCAGACAAGGAAATTCATTTTTTTTAACAAAAGAAGTACACCAATGTGCTCAGGACCATGGAATTCACTACTCTTACTATGTATCTGTGACCCAGATATAGCTGATTTGATAGAACATGATAAAAACTCAGGTAGGACACCAGCCCTAAGACATTTGACATTTGCCTAAAACTAGTGAATAACTGATTTTGCCATCTTTATAGCTGGAATGCATGGTCCTGGAAACCCATGAGAAAATACAAGACATGATCCTCTCATTATGTGACCTTATAATATACTTGAATAATGTTTGCTTCCCCTCTTATAATCTTCACCTCAATATGTTTGAAGATCCTAGGATCTCACAGAGGAATTTTTTCACCAGAGGACACAGTTATGAATCTAATGAATTGGAAGCTGAGACTTCCCCTGGACCATTTGGAGCTTCTCACAATAATGAACCATAAATCAGAAAAGTGAGTCATTGGAGGGCTGGAGAGACTGACCCAGGGGTCATAGAGGTGATTTTATCAATACTTTGGCCCATAGAGATCTGAAAATACTCAATAAATGTAGAGCCAAAGGTTCAAATCCACATAAATAATTGAAGAATCAGGTTAAGAACCTCATGTAGGTGAGGTGCTGATTGAAGGCAAGAAGAACATAGAACAGGCAGTGGAGGCAGGCACTACAATTACCCTGTTTATATGTTTGTGACCAACTGAGTTTATAACAGCTATATTCTATATTTATGAATCATAAAATTTTGCCCATTTTTTTCCCTGCAGATACTTTACATGTAGCACTGCTGATGACAGTCTAGGTTTCAGGCAGTAAATGTAAGCAAATAAATATTATACATCAGGATAAGATACCTTGTAGAATTGGAACTTCCCCATGGTAATTATGCAAACTTATTACCCAGCTGAAGGATAAGAATAGACTGTAGATAAAACTCTTGCTAATAGGCAAAGGTTACCATGCTGAACTTATTTGTGTGTCCACATCCACTTTGCACTTCTCTGAAATTTTAATTTTAATTCTAATAAAAATTAGAATAAAATCCAAATATGTATTTTGAATTAGTGGATAGAGGAGTGATCTTGTTATGGGAAACATCATCCTTTCGAACACTGCTATATAAAACCCCA